CCCATTATTGTTGGTTAAGCTAAGGCCCTTACAGTTGCTCATCTAGAATATCAACACCTTTCCCAATGATTTTAGCAACTTTAAACCTTCCCATCAAATCTGTCTTCCATGATGTGATTTCTCTGACTATGCTTAAACCTATAGGAAATGCAATCTAAGTTCCTTAGGATTTGATCCGAGTTCTCCATAATCAGGTAGTTTCCTGGTGACTCTCTCACCAAGCTGTTCATTCCCATTGTCATATTACTCCTGCAACTGCATGTTTCCTTCCACATCAGTTTTCTTCTTAATATCTTCATTGGTGCTGGTCTCTTTACCTGCTATGTCTTCCCCAACATTCAGAGCAAGCATCACCTATTTAAGAGGCCTTTTCTGATGCCACATCTATGCTGGGTCTCTCCTGGGTCTTCCATGGTATCTGCCAGTCTCTCCACCACTTTACTTATATTGCGTTATGGTGAATTCTTTGTGTCTATTTCCTCCACCAGACAGAACAACCTGGGTGTCAGAACTGCATGCTATTTACCTTTATATCTCTACTACCTTGCATAGTGCCTGGTTTAGTTAATGTGTGTTAGTACTAAGGTAGTAGTATTTTATGTATGGCTGAATAAGTAGGCGAATAAATGAGAGATCCAGTCTGTGCCCTTTGTATGCACTTAGCATAGGGTTGCCAGGCTTACCAAATAAAAATACAGGATGCCAAGTTAAATTTGAAATTCAGATAAGCAACAAATACTTTTTCACTATGAGTACATCCTGCATGGGACATACTTAAGCCCCAGCATTTTTCAGTTATTCATCATTTACCTGAATTAATTAATTAAAATTTAACTGGCATCCTGGCAGCCCTAACCTAGCAAAAATGTGAGTTCATATCTAAAGTAGAAGTTTACATGTTGCAGGAACTCACACTAAGCTTGGCATACATGCCCAAGGGTTTTGTATAGACTGTCTCACATCTCTGAATGCCCCATGTGTAAATAGTTCACACTGTTCAGACGCCCTAGCTTCACCACGGTGCTCTGCTGTTGTGCTATGACATTCACGTATTTTTTCTATGCATGTCAGGGAAATTTAGTGTATATGTATTTGGACAATATGGACAGATGACCAGAGCTTATTTGTGAGTAATCTCATGGCATTTCCTGTAGTAGGATGGTTTCTTACTGCTGGATGGTGGTTGCAGGGGTATTCTAGGATGAATGCGGACAGAGCAACGTGCATCATCTTCTGGTCTCTGAAACTGGGATTTAGATTTTCTCAAGGCAGTTATGCCTGAAATAGTACTCATTATTTACTTTTCTGCTCAAGCCAGGATGCCCGAGAACTCATGTACTGCAGGTTGAGCATGGCTTGGAGACGCACTTCATACTGCCTTCAGTCTCCTGAGGTTGTTGACTTAAACACATTCCCTGTCAAAGTATCAGATGACTGAAATTTTATTTTGATTGAAGGAATTTTTTTTTTCAAATGAGAAACACCCAAGTTGTTAACAGTTCATATTTTAGAAGGGGCAAGAGTCTATTTCTCCATGACCAGAGACAGAATTGAAATATGGCACATTTCATCTCTCACATTCTCTTTCTCCTGTCCCCTCAAGCCAAAATTGATAAGTATGGGAATTTCATGGCTGGGATGGCTGGGCAGACTTTAGATTTCCCCCATAGGAGTCAGACATGTTCTCTTAGGAAAAGCTGAGTCCTAATGGTGGAAATATTGGCCAGAAAAACAATCATGAAACATTTTTGTGGCCTCAGTATCATGATCTTGTCAGGAAAGCGATGGTCTCTGATTAAATCCAGATTGAGCTGTTTCCTGTTAGCGTGCTAGCCCGGAGGGCAGGCTCGGCCCTGCATGTCTTGCTCTTTAAGTCTGGGTTATTAAACACGTGTCTGCCAAGACTCTCCCTCCCACTGACCCCCTGCCGCCTCCCTCCAGTCCTCTTTTAAATTAGAATTCAAAGGTATTGAGATATTACAAACAAAAACAGATCCTATGGTCTCTTCAAAGGGTTATGTAGCTTTTGGATATTCTGCAGCAAAAATGAAACTAAAATGTTAGCTTCTCCAGTCTGACCATAAGGCCCAGTTTGTTTCTTGTATTTCACTTTTGCATAATTTTATTTCAACATAGTTCCAGTAATAAGCAGTTGATTAAAACCTTTTTGTTTGATTAAAAAATGCTCTATGTGAGCATTGGTACATTAGAGCTCACCTCAAAACCCTGGTCTTCTCCCTGATATAACAAGTAGTCATTAAGATGCTTATTAAATGTGCAGAAAATGGCATTCAGCAAGTGCTCTGACACCTGAACATACGTTGTTCATTTTTATGAGACTGATTTTAGGCGCCAGAGCAAATCCTGTACTTCATTTTCTGATATTGTCATTGATGCTTATTTATTGCACTTAGAGAATGACTTTTAAAATCTAAATATTCAAAATACTTTTATTAGCCATTCTGTTAGCACAAACATGGTCCTTCCTGATGTACAGATGCAAACAGAGTTAAAGGGACAAATGGGGATCAGGCATGCATATTGAGATTTTTTTTCAGAACAGGGGGACAACTGAAAGGGAGAGATGGGGTTAATGGGTGACCTGATTCCATTCCCATGAGAGAACCTTGGCTTCCTGCCAGATCTGTTCTCTGGCAGGAAAAGGGACCCACTTCATCAGGTCCTTTGACAAGCATTTTTCTCTGTATTTGAATTTTGGGCCATATCAGTGCTTAAGGAAAAAACTAGTTCTTTTAAATAGTTATTACTTTCAATAAGAAAGATTTCGTTTGCAAGTGAAATTTGCATTGTGAGTAAAATGAGAATCAGCAAATTAAAACGTTGCTTAGTAAGGGAACTCTGACATTGTCATAAGGTAAGGAAGCTTGATTTAGAGTTAGAGCTTGAATATGCCTGGAGACTGAGAAACCAGTCCTTTTGTTATTTGTTGAGAAGCCAATCCTAACAGTTGACCTTGAAGTGTATTTTTTAACTACTACTTCTAATGTTATCAGGCTGATAATAATTTTGACCAGTGACAAAGTTAAACACACAAAACATCCCTAAAGTCTGGTATTAAAGAGATCAAAAGAATGTAGATGTTTGAAGATAACATTATATTTTATAATGTCTTGATTTTTTCTTTTTAAGTGAAAAGTGGCAAATGCAAATTAAATTTTAAGTGCATCACAGTGACTTAGCTAACGTTTTCCAAAGTATGTTCATTCTAATGTTCTGCAAGATGCTCTTTAAATAAAGGGAAATCCATTTGGAAGCATCATATGCCATATCCTTCTCTTAGAATTTCATAAGTTAGCATATTAAAGACTTCAAGAAATTCTGTAGTCAAGAAATGTATTGGACTTTATGTTCCCAAAGTTGATGACGAGACCTTTTGTCTTGGAACTGGCATTTTACGGCTCATACTTAGGACAACACTATAATTAAAAACTTTATTAGACTTTGAAACTGTATATCTTTTTCATTTATTGTTTCTGATTAAAGTTAATGGGAACTAGTGGGAGACAGCTGGGTACTACGAGGTCCATTCTAAAACTACATATAGACCGATAAAGAACAAGTATTAGCCACCTCAGAATCAACAGGCCTAAGTGGCCTAAAGAAACATTTGGTATTTTGCATGAACCAGATCTCTCCTTACTAAGCTAAAAGTATCTTTCAAGAATGTAATAAAGAAATAAAGTCATCTGTCACATAAGCCGGGGTCTTAATATGAATTCCTGTCAGCAGCTAGACATGGTGACATTCAGCTATTCTAACCCCCTCCTAAAAGTGATCGCCCCCACTGAGGTCTTACTGAAAGCAATCTCACCAGCTGATTTTCTTCCCTTTGCTTAACTTCTGACAGGCCAAGTGAAGGAAAAGCAAACATACTACTTAGTAAGCACAGTGCCATCATGCAGAGATTCAGTTCTCCCTTCTCTGCCCCTCTTCTTTAATTTTCACATGCCTAATTATTTCAATTTAGGAAAATCTGCTGAAAAGCAATTCAGATTTACAATTCAGAGAAATTGCCTGGCGATTATTTGCCTCACTTAGAATGATCATTTGCTTTAGGAAAAGAACCTCTCGGTAGGTCATCTTCCCTAGTCCTATGAAGGCCATGTTAAACTTTGAAAACTGCATCTCTGGATCATTTGTTAGGCACGGATTCATTGTAGAATGTCAGGCACACCCATATTTTTTGCAATTTAATTCTCTTCCCTCATACTCAGTTTTTAAGCTATATGAATTTTGTCACTAATCAGTTCTTATGTTTTATGTCTGCCAAGGTGCAATTATACCTGCTTATATTATTCAGGTTCATTCTCAGGTGATAACTACTTGGCTTGTACACTGTAAGTCCGTGCAAGGCAGGGGGCACACACCCTTTCCATTATTGCCCAGAGATTCGCCCAGTGCTTCTTGGGTACAGCCATTTCTCAGTCAACTCCATCAAATGCTGATGATACCAAATCAGAAAACATATCTCGGTAGATTTCCATAGAGAACATACTCCTATCATGGCTGACTTTTCAAGCTATCAACGTGATGTCAGCTGGTTCGCACAAACCCTAAAAACTTAGCAGTCAGCTCTCCACAGCCAGTGTGAGTCAGCTCCAGCACACCACTGTAGGAACTGTCTTTCAGAATGAGTTTGAGAACCTACTATGGAACAGTAAGAAGGGAGTGACTGATAACACACGCTAAACTTGATCCTGAGGTCATAGAAAACATCCTTGATAAAATATGCCACAATGGTTCTCGTTAGGGTGGTAAGCAGCAAACGTGTCCACTGTGAAGGTACTGACAGGAACCCAGCCCCCACTACCAGCACCGACTCTACTGCACTCACAGGTGAGAGGACCGCCTCACGTGATTTGTAGGGAAATTAAATAAGAACAAGAGAGAACATGCCAGGCTATGATTCAACTCTTTTAGTGTTTTCAGTTTCGCTTTAGGCAGTCATTTCTGATCATAATCATGAATTTATTGTACAGGTTGAAGGGGACCAGCTGCCTCCAGGACATACAGTCAGTCAGTATGAGACCTGTAAGATCAGGACCATAAAAGCTGGCACCTTGGAGAAGCTTGTGGAGAACCTGCTGACAGCTTTTGGGGACAATGACTTTACCTATATCAGCATCTTCCTGTCAACGTACAGAGGCTTTGCCTCCACTAAAGAAGTGCTGGAACTGCTGCTGGACAGGTAAGACTGAAGGTGATGGGGACTTGGTGGGAATGTAAGGTGCTTCCCAGTGCAGGCATGAGGTTCAGAATCATCTGTGCTCAGTGTGCTGGGGGAGATGGACGGGGAAGGGTGAACTGGAGGGAAGGACCATTGGAACAAATGGCATGAAGATTACTCTATTTTTATGTAATCTATTTTATGGTCATTTTATGGTCTATTTCTGATAAAAATATTAAATAATAATTCTATAAAATAGTTAGGAATACATACCATAAATATAGACTTAGTCGTTTGTAGTTTCAGTTACTATTTGCTACTCTAAAATTTTCTCTATATTTTTATAATTTTATATAATTCCAGTAAAAAAAATATCAGGAATTTTATTGGGTGGTTGTGAGAATTAAATATGCTGATATGTGTGAAACATGGAGCTCAGTGGTAGATCCATAGGAAGGAGCTAATGAATGGTGGCTAAAATGATGGTGACACTAATAACAGTCACCATGTATGTGCATATGGATGATGCACATGGATGTGCACATCTGTATCACCCGGATCTGTTGTTGCGTCACATGTTCCATAGAGTGGAGCAGTATGCATTATAATTCACACGCTGATATTATATTTTCTGCCTTATTTTTATTTATAATTAAACTTGGCCTTTTAAAAATTATTACTAAATTGACTTAATATTGGGAGGAACACTGTCAGCCAGTTCTTTTAGAATCACAAAAGTCCTCCAAATTTTCCTATTCTGGGATTTCCTGGCATAAGAAAGTAAGTGAGATGGGATGTTTTTGTTGGAGTTACTGGATATTGTTTTCTAACTAGATTTCTTTAAAATTTAAAAGTAATGTGTGTTCATGTTAAAAATTCTTATATTAGAGAAGGATTTATATAGGTATAAGGACTAAAAATAGATACTTTTTATGTATACTATAAAAAACTATTAATGTTTTCTCATATTGCTGCCTTTTCCCTAAATAACTTTCATTAGGTTTTAAAAAATATATAGAAGAGAAACAGACCATAATCTAATTAGGCAGACCATAATCTAATTAGGCAGATAACATGTATTAACATTTTTAAAATGGAAGTAATTCATGTATATAGTGAAAAGTTCAAAGAAATCAGAAAATTATAAAAATAAAAAGTAAAACCAGAAAGTGAAATTTTCCATTCCTTCAAGTCCCATTTCCCAGTCCCATTCCTCCTAGGAAAGCCCTGTAAACCATGCCTTTGTATTCTTCCCAAATTTTTCTGGGTGTAAACACATATATGTATATGTACATATATATACATTTACATAGATATTTATCTCATATATTTGTTCATGTATGTATGATATTGATCATCTAATGTGTATTTATATATGGTATAAATAAAATCATAATACATGGTCTGTTATGTAACTTTATATATTTTTTTACTTATCTATGTATCTTAGAGATTTTTTACTCATAAAGGAAATTAACACTTGTAAAGGGCTTAGAAATATTGAAAGTTGAAGAAATATGAGTTACTGTTATCAAAGTCAGCACATATAGATAGATTTATCATATTCTTTTTAGTGACTTTATAGTATTTATTGAATTGAATTGATTCTATGAATGGACAGTTAAGCTCTCCAGTTTTCTTAATTTGTTTTTTGAAATTTTAAACAATGCTGCAAAAAGTGCCTTTGAATATATATGCATTTATCTCCTGAGTACTTGTTTGAAAATTCTATAGGATAATTTCAAAGAAGAGTGATTGATGGGTCAGAACATATAAGCATTTTATGTTCTTTTAAAAAAATTTTTGTTGAAGTATAGTTGACATAATATTGTATTAGTTTCAGGTGTCCAGCATGGTGGTTCGACATTTATATACATTATAAAACGCTTACCACGATAAGTATAGTTGCCATCTGTCAACACACAGTTATTATAATATTACTGGCTGCTTTCTCTACTCTGTACTTTTCATCCCCATGACTTACTTATTTTAAAATAGGAAGTTTGTACAAACTTCACCTATTTCCCCTCTCCTCCCCAGCTCCAGCAACCATCAGTTTGTTCCCTGGATTTATGAGCCTGTTTCTGATTTGTTTTGTTTTTGTCTGTTTGTTTTGTGTTTCAGAGTCCACATATATAAGTGAAATCATATGTATTTGTCTCTCTCTGTCTGACTTGTTTCACTTAGCGTAGTATCTCTAGGTCTATTTATGTTGTCGCAAATAGCAGATTACATTATCTTTAATGGTTGATTAATATTCCATTGTGTATATGTACCACATCTTCTTTATCCATTCATCTATTGATGGACACTTAGGTTGCTTCCATATCTTGGTTATTGTATATGTAAGCACTTTAAAATGTGAAAAATATTGCTAGATTGCCCTCTAGAAAGTTGCACCAACCACACTCCTCCCTAGAGGATAGAGTCACTGTTGCTTCACTTGTCCACTGTGGATATTTTCATCTCTACTATGGAAACCATCTCTACCATGATTTCCCATTGAAAAATGGCTGATTATTTTAATATTTGTATTTTTACATTTATTAGTGAGATATAGCATCTTTTAAAATACTTGTTGGGCTTTTGTGATTTCTGTGGACTGTTTTTTCATCCTTAATTTTTTTACTTTGGATTATTGTCATTTAATTATTGATCATCTAATTATAACTCCTTGTATATTAATGAAATTAGTTTTTTGCTTATATACTAGAAATACTTTTTCCTGATTTATACTTCAGTTTTAAAAGTTTTTTATTCATCTTTTTTATGAAGACATTCAAAAAAATTTTATGCAGTCTTATAATCAAGTTCTATTCCAATGCAAAAATGGTTATTGATAACAGATTTTTCTCAAGATAATTTCCTCATGGATACATGTAGAGTGAAATTGTTGGTTCAATAGTTACTCATATGTTGATATTTAGGAACATTCATAAAATGTCTATCCTTTAATTATATACTGATCTGATGATAACTCTGGACTTCACTCTAGGTAGGAAGTTCTATAGTTTTTTGCATAGCACTATTTAAAATATGAACATATATCTGTGGGATTAGTGAGTCATTTCTTTCAGTGTTTGCTTGTATAGTATCTCTCACCTATAAATGGAACCTGAGGAATTATATAAATTAATCTTTTTGTTATTTAATAGTTATAAAAAGGATGCAGTATGCTTGCTACCTGTTAGCAGGGAGTATGAGGAAATAGGTTAACACATCAAAAAATTGTACGAGTTGTCTTTGGAATTAGTAACCTCTTAACTTCTCGGGTGACTCCATTAATACTAGGCCCAGATGCCCACATTCTGGAAAGGAGTGCACATGAATTCCAGCTGTTCATGAGCCACAAGTAGTGGACCTACACCCAGGAATTAGTGTTCAGTCAATGGCTTGTGTACATCCAGCTTTTATTTGATGATTTTTAAAATAACTTTTGTTCTACTGGAACAATAATTTTGTTCTCATAGTGGATAGACATTTTTGGATTTTTAAAGTATTAGCTAGATGATGATTATTAAATAACAGAATCAACATGAATTCAAATTACGTTTAATTCTCCCTATCATTTAACGTATAACTGAATGAAGAGTTAAGATTTATCTGGAACCATTTGGATGGGCCAAGGCTTGACCTTGAGTTTGGTCTCACAGTCGTACCCTTTGCTTGCTTCTGAAATGAGTGGACCCAACATGTACTAATGCCTGTAAAGTACCTAGTGCTTTGCAAGATATTATATGGATGAGACTTAGTTGGTTCCCACTCTTATGGTGAATTTCCTCGGAAGCTGCTGGTACTTAACCTCCAGGGCCCCTCACTTGCAAAACCCTCTACATAATTTTATTCATAATTTTGTGTTCTTTTTCTTAGAGAGGACCCCTCAAATTACATATGCTGGCTCTGCAAAACCTGGATCCACCCCTGAGAACTTAATATTTCACAGCAGAAGAGAAGGCTTACATTCATAAAACAAGTAGACAAATGCTTAAGATGGTGTAAAAATGAATCTCTAACATGGTCTCAGACATTTAGACAAATAAACCCCATTTATTTTGCTTCCTCTACAGAAATGTGGATTTGTTCATATATGTACAAATTTCAACATGAATATTCGTCACCCCATTTCCTACTCACACTTAGATCTCATGACCACATATTACTCTTTGTTAGATTTTAACCAAAATAGAGATTTTGTGAAACACTGGGCTCTTAAATTGGTTGTTGAGGGTCTTAATGCCTGTAACTGGGAGGTAAGCAGTTAAATTGCATGAACTTACCATTTTTGAAAATAGGCTTGATACACTGTTTTCTTGTTATTAAATTGTGGTAGATGTGTTTGCCTCTGATGTAATTTTTTAAATTATTCTTCTTGGTTTCTTAATAGTAGATTGCTTATCTTTTGTGAAATTAACACTGATAAGTTATTATAGGGTGTGCTAATTCTAACCAGTAAAGACTGGGTCAAAGGTAGATGCTGTAGTATTTTTCTCCTGCCAGAGGAAAGCTTATTTGAAGTCAAGCTTCGATTTTCCTTAAGACTTCCAATCCTGTGACTTTCCTCATTTGGAACTGTTTGCTTTCTGGATTAAAAAAAAAAAATCTTTCAAAATTTTTTTCATTGTGCTAATAATATGAGCTTTTGTGATTGACCAGTAGATATTGGTTTGAAGTTGCATATGGCTAATTCCATGTGTTTGCTTTATCCCTTAGTTGGTATGATCAGCAATTCACAAGGAATCCTCTTTTCTGAACTTCTTACCATGGCTCAGAGTTAATTCTAGGGCTCATTGGCTTCCTTTTAACCTAAGAAGAAAGTTTTTGAATTGTGGTTTAGCTGTGTGTGCCGGGGCTTTGAGATTTTATTTTCTCTAACTTCAAACATGCATTCCACTTAAAAATACATTCCTCCCACCAATGGAAAGTAAGGGAGTTACATACCACTGAAAACAGCCCACCTCAAATGTGGGGAGAAGCGTAACTCAGTTCGTGATCTTCTCTAAGAACCATGAAATGTTTATGCA